CAGAGGTGGGTTCACTAACCATGAGTGTTTCTATTACTTAATAAAGGTCTTGGGGGTGTTGTAGTGGATGTAGGCGTGTACATACTGTGACAGGGTCGGGCCAGATAGCTACAGGAGATGGGTGAGCACCAGGAATTTGCTGGAACCAATTAAGGCAATCAAGCTAATTAGGACACCTTGAGTCAATTAAGAAGCTGCTAGAATCAATTAAGACAGGCAGGCTAATCAGGGCACCTAGTTTAAAAAGGGACCTCGGCTCAGTCAGTGAGGGGCTTGCAAGGAGCTGAGAGTGAGAGGGTGTGTTGCTGGAGAACTGAGGAGTACAATGCTATCTGGCATCAGGAAGAAGGTCCTGTGGTGAAGATAAAGGTGTTGGGAGAAGACCATGGGGAAGTATCCCTGGGAGTTGTAGCTGTCACACAACTGTTACAAGAAACACTGTAGACAGCTGTGATTCACAGGACCCTGGGCTGGAACCTGGAGTAGAGGGTGGGCCTGGGTTTCCCCCATTCCCTCAACTCCCTGTTGGATACAGGAATAGTTGTCCTGGACTGTGGGTCCCACCAAAGGGTTGGACTATAACAGCATTTAAAAGAGAACTGGATAAATTCATGGAGGTTAAGAAGTAATGTGTAAAGTTAAGGCCATTAATGGCTATTAGCCAGGATGTGGTAAGGAATGGTGTCCCTAGCCTCTGTCTGTCAGAGGGTGGAGATGGATGGGAGGAGAGAGATCACTTGATCATTACCTGTAGGTTCACTCCCTCTGGTGCACCTGGCATTAGCCAGTGTCAGTAGACAGAATATTGGGCTAGATGGACCTTTGGTCCGACCCAGTATGGCCATTCTTATGTTTTTATGATCCATTTCCTGTCGCCCATTCCTAGCTTCTGGCAAACAGAGGCTAGGGACACCATCCCTGTCCATCCTTTATCAATCAGACTTGTCATCTCATCATAAAAAGATATCAAGTTAGTTTGAGAGGATTGGTCCTCCATAAACCTGTGTTGATTGGCATTAAATATGTTACCCTCCTTTAATTCTTTGTTAATTGAATCCTAGATCAGCAACTGTATTATCTTGCCTGGGATCAAAGTCAGACTGATAGACTTGAAATTACTGCATCATTTTTAAACATTGACACAACATTGTCAACATTTGCTTTCTTCCAATCTTCTGGAACTTCCTCGGCGTTCCAAAACTTACTGAAAATCAACATTAAATATCCCCTTTTTACCGCTATGATGTTCCACACAGGGAACTGAATTAAATCTCAGGACCAGGCCTCCACTCCCTCCCAGTGGGTGTTACTTGTCACTACTGTTAGAAAAATGGCAAATTGTTCCAGCTGCATAATTTGGTCCCACATTTCAAACAGCCTACAATCCCAGGACATTTAGATGTGAGATTTTGAGTCAGCCCAATGTGAATTCTTGGAGGCAGTTTCTGGTACACTGGCAGTGTGCATGTTGTAAGAAAAGGTACTGCCACCTAGTGGTGAATGTGCAGACGGGCCAAAGGGCTTGCTAGTAGTGGCCGTTCCTAGCAGTGTCTTTTAATGCAGGTGGGAGGCTCCTGCTCTGTTTTGGAGATGACAAATCAGGGTTCTAATGCTGGCTCCCCCAGAAGGTGCCTGGAGCTAACAGAGCAGCTTTCCTTTTCCAGGCAGCACATAACTTTGTTATCCACTATAATGTTCAGAGCTGGGTTACTATCTTGAACCTGCCAAATTCAGAGGGTATATGGATATAGAGCTCAGCATGGGGCACTTCACTGGGAGTGGTGGGACCTTGGGCAAGTCATTTTGGACCAGATTACTAGAGGTATTTGGGTGCCTAAAGATGCAGATAGATGCCTAGTGGGTTTCTAAAACTCCCGCCACTTAACTCCCATTGACATTAATTTAGACACCTAAATCCCTTTGAGAATCTGGGCCCGGGGAACTTTTGGAAATCCTTCTGGGCATCTATCTGCATGTTTAGGCACCAAAATCACTTTTGAAAATCTGGCCATTTGTTTCCACATATCTCAGTTGCCCATCTGTACACAGCACTTCCCTATCTCACAGGGGCATGGGTGAGAATAAATACATTACAGATCGGGAGGTGCTCCAATCCTATGGCAATAGAGGGCCTTATATGACCGTAGATAGGAAGGTGTGCTGCATGCCCAAAATTGATACACCAGAGGTCTGATTTTGATAGGTAATGAGCACCTAGGTGATGAGCCCATTGGCTTGAACTGGAGTTGAGGGCACTCAACACCTATGAAAATCTGGCCTCTAAGTTATGTCAATTTGGGCCCCCAGAAATGTAGACACCACTGGTGCCAAAAGTACCAATGGGAGTTAGGCGCCTAAGTCTCTTTGAGAGTGTCCCAGGCTTTGGAGTTTCCTGGACACTAAATCACAACTATTACACCGACACATCAGTTTCTAAAGAGGCTGGTCTCTCTTGTTTTCACATCAGTTTCCATAATTTCACCAGTCCACCATAAATGATCCCCTCAGGTTGGCCTTACACTCTATTCCATCTGACCACGCCAAGTGTGACTTCCCCCTTGACTCAGAGTCACAAGAAGTCCTTCTTTCTTTTTGTCACACAATCCTGATCAAGTATTATTATTATTTATTTGTATTATAGTAGCAACTAGGAGCCCCCTTCATGGACCAGGACACCCTGGTGTTAGGCACTGTACAAACACAAAACAAAAGAATGATCCCTGTCCCAGAGAGCTTACAATCTAAATATAAGACAAGAGAGAACAGAGGGATACAGACAGATGGGAGAATGCAAGACAACTATGAGGCAGTATTGGTCAACATGACAGGCAGTGATTTCAGCAAACCAGTGGCCTAACCGTTCTCACGTTTTTTATAGGCATGACGGGAAAGGAGAGCTTCAAGGAGGGTTTTGAAAGATGATAATGAGGTAGTTTCTGGCTGTTTACCAGGAGCTTCTCCCAAGCATGAGTGGCAACACAAGAGACAGCACAAAGGGTCTCATTTGAAGATGTAACAAGCAGGTGATGGAGGCAGACATCCTGGGCCAGTTGAAGGTGGGAGTCAACATCTCAAAAGCAAATTAAAGATAACAGGTCAGGCCATGAAAGTGAAGATAACTAGCTTGCCCTAACACTGTATCTATGATTCAGAACGCTAACGTGTCTGTTCTGTGTTGAGTCTCTCTGCCACTGGCTGATCATTCTTCGAAGTAGCAGCTGCCTGGGAGTCTGTTGGAGGACTTATTGCATCAACACCTGAGTTCATATATTTAGGGCTTGAACCTTCAATTCTAGAGGCCCCAAACTTGATCCTATGTTCACATTGTGGGGCTTCATGTAGGGCTACATTTTGGCTGCTGGTGAGGAAGTATCTAACTTGAGTGCCTAGCACTAAATGCTGATTGGCCAGATATATACTGATTTTCAGAAGTGCTGAGCACCCAACGCTCCCATTGAATGAAATGGCCCTCTGAAAATCAGGCCCATATTTAGGGATTTAAATTTAGGCCCCTAACTGGAAAATGTCAGGCCTGGTTTTGAAAGATGGTGAACATGCATAACATAGCTACAGTGCAACAGTTTTGGCACCCCAAAAAAGAAGGTAACCAAAATCAGACGACAATTTAAAGCATTCTAACTAGTCTGTGCATGACCTGGAATCATAGGCGCCGAATCCATGGAGTGCCGATGGGAAAAAATATCACAACGAATCGATGGTGCAGCAGAGAGCTGATCGATGCTGCTGCCAAACAGCTGTTTGGTGGCTTGAGGGGAGGGTGAACAGCAGCGAGCAATGGGCAGGCAGGAGCCTTGGGGGAAGGGGTGGAGTGGGGGTAGGGCCTCAGGGCAGAGTGGGGTGGAGCACCCCCAGGGAAAAATAAGTCAGCGCCTATGCCTGGCATTTCCATTTTGTGTGAAGTCCGGTGATTTTGAAATCTGCTTTTGTTTCCCATCGAATTTTGATGTTTCCTGCCAAATGAAATTTTTGAAATAACTTTGTTTCAGGTCAATGGAACACAGAGGCAAATTTAGAATATAAAATAAAACAAATCGCAAAATGTTTGTGTTTGTTTTTTTAATAAATGTTTATCAGAATTGACACTGCTGCGGATTTCAGTTAAATGCCCATCCGAAATTTTTCAACCAGCTCGAATTTTGACATGTGCTTGTGAAGGACATATCCTTCTAAGGCCATTGGGGAAATAATCAAGTGCAGCAGCAATTTCTACATCTACAGCGGAAGATCAGCTTGGCCTGTACGGGCCTTTCCTATCACTGTTGTGAATATGCAGGACTGGGGGAGTCCTACCTATACCTCCTGCACACCTAAACATGCTCCTTTTGGGGTATGAAGCACCTCATAATGGATGCATGAGCAGGGGATTACAGTAGGTTCCCTCTTGGATGCACTATGAATGGGAATGCTGCTCTGTTCACCCTCTCCCCATCCGAGTGGAAGAAATTCAACTGCTTCCAGCTGGCAGCCAGATTTTGGAAGGGAGCAATGGATCTAGTGAACTTAGTGGCTCTGGTGCTACAAACATAGTCTGGTAGAAGCAATCAGAGCCCAGCAGAGGCCAGAAGGTCACAGCTGTGGACAATAGAGAGAAGCAGGGGCCAGCACAGTCCAGCAACGGCTGGTAGAACCCAGGGCTGAGCAGTGGGACTGGCAGGGGCTGGTAGAACCCAACTGTAGCCAAAAGAGAGCAGAAGGGGTGGAGGGAGATCAGCAGGCCAAAAGACTCCAACAGAGAGCAGTAGAGACCATCAGAGATTATTACAGTCATACAAGGTCAGTAAGGCCCACAGATTGATGATCAGGGAGCAGTGGAATGAGAATAATGCAGCCCATTAGAATTCCCAGTAGTGGTGTCCCCAAGTCTCTCTCATGCAGTAGCAGCTATTGCGTGGGCCATAAGCTGGAGACCGGCCGGTGACATAACGCCCCCTCCCCCCCCATGAAACCATCCTGGCAACTCTCCCGCAGGCCTTGCTCACCTCCTGGTTCCTCAGGCTGTAGACGAGGGGATTGAGGAGTGGGGTGAGCACTGTGTAGAGCAGGGAGAGCTCCTTTCTGGGGTTCAGCCCAGTGCCATCCCTGGGGTACACCAGTGTTCCATAGAACAGCATCATCACAGTGAGGTGGGACGAGCAGATAGAGAAGGCTTTGCGCCTCCCTGAGGCAGAGGGGACCCTCAGCACAGCCCAGGTGATGCAAATGTAAGAAGTGACTGTCAGGAGAAATGGGGAGGCTGGGATGAAAGACAGGAAGAATGTGACCATCTGGACCATGGGGGTGTTGGTGCAGGAGAGCTCCAGGAGGGGCTGGAAATCACAGAAGTAGTGGTCTATCTCACAGGGCCCACAGAAGCTCAAGGCTATAAGCGACAGTGACACAATCCCCATGAACAGGAACCCGCCCACCCAGGACCCAACCACCAGCTGTCCGCAGTGGAGTGGGTGGCACGTGGCCAAATACCGGTCATAAGACATGACTGCCAACAGGAAGCACTCCACAGTGGCCAGGGCGCCGAAGAGATAGAGCTGCGCAAGGCAGCCGCCCAGAGATATCATCACATTGCCTGCCTGGAGACCAGCAAGAATCACAGGGGAGATGTTGGAGCTGGAGACCATCTCCAGGCAGGAGAGGCTGGAGAGGAAGAAATACATAGGGGTCTGGAGATGTGGATCCAGCACCAGCACCACCAGGAGGAGGTTGGCAGCCATGGATATGATATAGACAGCTAGAAAGCCAGTAAAGAATAGGATCCACAGTTCCTTGAGGTCCCCAAATCCCAGGAGGAGGATGTGGGAGATGGTGGTGAGGATTCCACTGTCTGTGTCCTTCATAGGGAGAGTCTGAGGGAAAGAGAGTCAGATAATTATGAGAAAATGAAAAAACTATCCATAAAACCTGCAGCTGTGTATCCTTGTGGGAAGTAGTGCTGTCTAGTGATTACAGCAGTGAAGGAGGGGAGTTGGGTCTAGTGATTAGAGCAATGGAGGCCCAGACTGCTGGGTTGTATCTTAGCTCAGAGAAAAGAGCTTATTAATGAGTGCAAATGGCCAGGACTTCATTTTACATCCATCAAAAAGATACATCCAGCAGTACAGCACCCCTACTAACTGTAGTTACTCTTACTGCACTGCTGTGAGCTGGGTGAAAACTTGTTACAGGTTGAGTGAAACCTCATTCAAATGGATGTGTCAATGGGCCCTTCATTTAAGATAGTTGTAAGAGACAAGAGGCCAACAAGCTGTGCCCAGAAAGTAGCACCATGTGGACATTCAGTATTCTATGGGTATTGTGACCGGGTCTGTGAGAGAACACACAGCAAATGAGACCAGACAAGAAGACGACAGAGAGAAGCAGAGGCAACAAAGCCAAGCAGTAGCCTGTGAACACAGTGAAACTCTGACAAAATCTGAGGAGAGATTGTGGATCCATTGGATAGAGAGGCTTGGGGCCATGAGCTGAGGAACTGCTCCTTTTGTTCCTAGCTCCTCCTGTGTTTGGAAAAGGAGGACTTGGTACATCCCTTGTAAATAAACAAGAGTGCATCTGAGCGAACACGATCCTCAATTGGCATCTGCTTCCAGCTGGGAACTCCCCCAGGGTCCTGAACTATGACTAGCTGCTCAGGTCGGAAAGAGGCAACAATATTGTTGTTGCCATAGTGCACAGAGGCCCTGTCATGGACTAGGGAACTGCAAAAGGCAGAACAAAAGGACAGTCACGCCACAAGTGCTGACAATATGGGTAGCGGGTGAAGCCCAACCCTCTCAGGGAAAAGCCAAAGCATCTGTTAGAAAATGCTGTTGATACACCCTATGCAGGTTCTGGGGCGGCTGAGGAGGTGGTATGTGGTATGTGCCTCCTCAGCCGCCCCAGAACCTGCATGAGGCATAAAAAAACAAAAACGTTGCCAACAAACCCAGGAACTGGGGTCCGGTGGGCATGGCTGCGGCAGCACCAAGGTTGGCAGAGCCTATTATACCCACTGCCCATGGCTGACTATCTAAGCAACCCACCACGGTGATGACACAGTACTAAGTGAAGTCTTGGGTACAGAGCCACAAAGGTATTTAGGCACCTAAATCCCAGCTTTCAGCACTTAAGGCCCAGTTTTAGGCTCCACCATCATCCTAAAAACCCCTGCTTGGCTGCTGTCTCACTCTGTAGGCGCCTAAGTGTTCAGGGTAAAAGTTCCCTTGGCATCTGAGCAGTTTATATCCCAGTTCCACAAAGTACTTGAGGACATGCTTAACTTTAAGCACAAGAGAATTCTCAGAGTTCCATGGGACAACAAACATCCTTAAAAACTAGACACATATTTAGATACCTTGCTGAATTGGGGCCATAAAGAACAGGCCATGAAAGCAAATTCACTGATGGTGTGAGGTGGAGTAAGGCCTGGGTTCAATCCAACCATAGGGCCACCAACTCAGCAAAGTACTTATGATACCACTGGCTCAGTGGTCTGCCAACGTTGTCCCCACAGCAGATTCCAATACTCTCTGGAAGTAGGCAACCTCCATAGCTCTGTGGGTTCAGGAGCAACCTTCCAGCCTAAGGGCTGCTCCCTCGATCCTGCCTTAATTCAGTCCTAGTTACAGAACTATATACAATAGACTATTGTGGGACCTTTTCCTGAGCAAGGACTCAACAAGAGAAGTGATGCATTCTTCATATCTTAGAGTCTTGGAATCTAAATTAGTTAGGCAACCCAATCCCTCAGGAATTTTCAAAATCCCAGCCTATCCAAAGAACAAATGCCTTTCTGAATGATACATTCAAATTGAACTATAATTTGCTGAGATAGATGCAGGAAACACTGGGTGGATTCTCTGCCAGGAATTCAGACCAGATGACCATAGTGGTCCCTCCTGCCTTTAAAATCTATTAATCTATGGATTTTGAAGATTACTATTCATAGGACAATAGAACAGACTGCCTCAGGAAGTTGTGGAAGCTCCTTCACTGGAGGTTTTCAAAAGGAGGCTGAATAGCCATCTGTCTTGGATGGTTTAGACACAACAAATCCTGCATCTTGGAAGGGGTTGTGGTCCCTTCTAACCCTAAGGTTCTATGATTGGCTCCAATGGTACAACTCACATGATAAAAGTAAGGATGAAGAAAGTACGAGGGTCCTAAGTAACAACACAGGAATTTTGTGCTAAAGGTCTGATTCTACCAAAAGTTGGACCCTGCAGATGCTGGGTCTTTGCAAGCCAAATTTTGTTAAATAGCCACTAACTTTGGGTGCCTCAATTTAACGCCAACCAATCTGGGCTTTCTCTCCAAAATTGCTGCACACCTACAACCTCAACAGAAATCCATGCAAGCTCAGAGTGCTCAGCAAATCAGAAAACCCAGGTCTCCGTTCTCACAAACTGGGCACCAAAAATGGAGGCACCCCAAATTAGTGGACAGGCTGCACAATTTTGGCCATCGGGCTTGAATTATTTTTGGAACTTCTGAAAAGCTGCAGCTCCTATTGGCTTTAGTATGATCTGGGAGTGGTCAGCAATGCTGGAATTTAGGCCCAAAGCTAGAAACCACTTTTGGAAATAATCGCCTAAGATTTTAGTTGTTCCTGCTTTTTTCATAGATTAATAGATTTGCTGGTCAGAAAGACCAATTAGATCAGCTAGCCTGACCTCTTGAATAGCAAAGGATGTATACTTTCACCTGGTTAGCCCCTACTGATCACAATAGTTTATGTTTGAAAGGCAGCCAATCTGGATCGGAAGATTTTAAAGACTGAGAATGCACTGTTTCCCAAGTGCTGGCACTCACAGTCCATGGGAACTTGACCATTTGGATACAAAAGTCTTGCATGAATCACACAGTTTTCAAACTATTTAATGTGGCCCTTTGTGGGTGACAAACTGGCCCAGTGCAGAGCTCCAGATTACATTAATTCAGGGGGTAGTTTATGCATAGACTCAACACAAGCTTTGTTCACCCATTCCTGAGAGGTGCTGAGCACACACAGCTCCTGCTGGCTTCAGATCCAGGGTTCGGCTCCAAATTCATTCTGTGTAATTGACCTGGGCCCGATTCTGCACTCTGTGGGCCTGATCCTGCCACCCTTACATGAGTAACCATGAGTAACCTAGTAATCTAGTGACCATGCTGACTTTGCTATGAGCACTTGCATGAGTAACTACTAGCTGTGTGTGTAAGGGCTTCAGGAGGCGTCCACTTTTGCAAGTAAAACTCAGTGGATGACCCGGTGGATTGAAGAAGACCCTTAGGGCTAGGTCTACACTGCAGGTGGATGTGAGCCCCCCCAGCCTGAGCACACAGACTTGCACTAGCCACAGGTGAGGGAAAACTAGCAGTGTAGACATTGTGTCTCAGCCAGCAGATCTGGCTCTCAAACACAGCTGATCCCCTGCATCTCTGCAATGTACACACTGCTAGTTTTAGTGTCCTAGTTGGAACCAAGCTAACTCCCATCTACGATATAGACATTCCCTTAAGGACCAAATCCTGCAATGCTTATTCTTTTGGGCAATGTGTGGTCCTTGCTGAAGTGGGCAGGAGAACTCTGGGACTAACTGCTAGAGAAAGAGTTACTCACTTGAGTGCTGATATATTAGCTGGTTATGTTAAGCTTCACAAATCCTCACTATTCACACTGGTGTTCAAGGTGGACAATGCCCTGGGGAGGCTGCAGTTGTTTGTGGAGATCAGTGAGACCACACATAGGGTCTCGTATCCCTAGACATGTTCTTTGGCTCATACTTATAGCTGCCTGATGAGCCACTGAAGAAATGACCCTTTGTTCTCAAGGCAGGTGAGAGACTTCCTTGATTTTATTAGAGAACTAATTATCATATTGTCTCGCGTTGTTCTTTAAGACATGTATTGAGAGCTAGGTGGGGTGCACGGTGCCTTACAATGGAAGTAAATACATGGTCCTTGCTCCTAAGAGCCTATTGACTCAGCTGATCATGGCAAGTCAACATGCTGGGGCGATAACAACAGGCAATGGATGGATGGAGTGTGACAGAATGCACACAACTGGGCAATGAGCATTGCTTGGCTAGTAGCACAGGAATCCTAGTTTCTTTCTTTCTTTCTTGACTGGAAGTACTACTGGGGGGATTCTAGAATAAGGCATTGTTCCGAAGACTGAAATGAAGGAGGAGAGAGATGTTTGTGCAGAACTGGTTCAGGGAAAGCAGCTCATGGCTTTGGATACCATTCCAGTGAAGTATAATGGGAATGAGGTGCCCAAACTGTCAGGCAGCTTTGAAAATCTCAGCCTGGCAGCCTGGGAGAAGGTGCTAGTGAGAGAAGGGAATAAACGGGGCTTGGAATTAATGGTGTAGGGATCTGATGAGGGGTCATGTGGTGTGGCCGTGTAGATGTGGGTCCATCCAGGCGTTCGAAGAAAGGAGTAGGAGATATTGACAGGCTGGGAATATTTTATGTTTTCCCATAAAGCTAGCGTGTGTTAGCTGGTGAAAGACCTGGTGTATCTGGGAGGGGTTGCAAAGGAAAAGGGTGAGGGAGATGCAGACTTCTTCCTATCTTTACCCATTGTTACTTAACTTTTCTTTTCTTTTCTTGTCCACCTGTTTCATTCTGCCCATAAGTTATCTGGGCAGATGCTGTCTCTTTAATACATGTGTGTATAACACCCAGCACAACAGGGAACTGGTTGGTGTTTGAGGCCTCTATATGCTACAGTGCTAGCACTATTACTTTTTGTGCTGTGAATAACCGAGAAGGGGGCCAGGACCTTTGGGTAAACATATGTATTGTAACCCACTCTTCCTTGGGAATGTTTTTGATCTGGCTCCAGATAAATGTACAGAAAATGCTACCTATTGCTGATATGGCT